TTTAAGGAGTTATGGTCATTTTAAAATACAGATTAATTCACACTTAAAAAAGTGATCACAAATAATAGCTAAAAACGCTCTAAAGTCAATATTTAAGGAGTTATGAGCATTTTAAAATATTGATTAATTCACACTTAAAAAAGTGATCACAAATAATAGCTAAAAACGCTCTAAAGTCAATATTTAAGGAGTTATGGCCATTTTAAAATATTGATTAATTCACACTTAAACAAGTGATCACAAATAATAGCTACAAATGCTCTAAAGAAAATATTTAAGGAGGTATAGCCATTTTAAAATATTGATTAATTCACACTTAAAAAAGTGATCACAAAAAAAAAAGCTAAAAACGCTCTAAAGTCAATAGTTAAGGAGTTATGGCCATTTAAAATACTGATTAATTCACACTTAAAAAAGTGATCACAAATAATAGCTAAAAACGCTCTAAAGTCAATAGTTAAGGAGTTATGGCCATTTTAAAATACTGATTAATTCACACTTAAAAAAGTGATCACAAATAATAGCTAAAAACGCTCTAAAGTCAATATTTAAGAAGTTATGGCCATTTTAAAATACTAATTAATTCACACTTAAAAAAGTGATCACAAATAATATCTAAAAACGCTCTAAAGTCAATATTTAAGGAGTTATGGCCATTTTAAAATACTGATTAATTCACACTTAAAAAAGTGATCACAAATAATAGCTAAAAACGCTTTAAAGTCAATATTTAAGGAGTTATGAGCATTTTAAAATATTGATTAATTCACACTTAAAAAAAGTGATCACAAAAAAAGCTAAAAACGCTCTAAAGTAAATATTTAAGGAGTTATGACCATTTTAAAATATTGATTAATTCACACTTAAAAAAGTGATCACATATAATAGCTAAAAACGCTCTAAAGTCAATATTTAAGGAGTTATGGCCATTTTAAAATATTGATTAATTCACACTTAAAAAAGTGATCACAAATAATAGCTAAAAACGCTCTAAAGTCAATATTTAAGGAGTTATGGCCATTTTAAAATATTGATTAATTCACACTTAAAAAAGTGATCACAAATAATAGCTAAAAACGCTCTAAAGTCAATATTTAGGGAGTTATGGCCATTTTAAAATATTGATTAATTCACACTTAAAAAAGTGATCACAAATAATAGCTAAAAATGCTCTAAAGTCAATATTTAAGGAGTTATGGCCATTTTAAAATATTGATTAATTCACACTTAAAAAAGTGATCACAAAAAAAAGCTAAAAACGCTCTAAAGTCAATATTTAAGGAGTTATGGCCATTTTAAAATATTGATTAATTCACACTTACAAAAGTGATCACAAATAATAGCTAAAAACGCTTTAAAGTCAATAGTTAAGGAGTTATGGCCATTTTAAAATACTGATTAATTCACACTTAAAAAAGTGCTCACAAATAATAGCTAAAAACGCTCTAAAGTCAATATTTAAGGAGTTATGAGCATTTTAAAATATTCTGAAGTCAATATTTAAGGAGTTATGGCCATTTTAAAATATTGATTAATTCACACTTAAAAAAGTGATCACAAATAATAGCTAAAAACGCTCTAAAGTCAATATTTAAGGAGTTATGGCCATTTTAAAATATTGATTAATTCACACTTAAACAAGTGATCACAAATAATAGCTAAAAACACTCTAAAGTCAATATTTAAGGAGTTATGGCCATTTTAAAATATTCATTAATTCACACTTAAAAAAGTGATCACAAATAATAGCTAAAAACGCTCTAAAGTCAATATTTAAGGAGTTATGGCCATTTTAAAATATTGATTAATTCACACTTAAAAAAGTGATCACAAATAATAGCTAAAAATGCTCTAAAGAAAATATTTAAGGAGTTATGGTCATATATTGATTAATTCACACTTAAAAAAGTGATCACAAAAAAAAGCTAAAAACGCTCTAAAGTCAATAGTTAAGGAGTTATGGCCATTTTAAAATACTGATTAATTCACACTTAAAAAAGTGATCACAAATAATAGCTAAAAACGCTCTAAAGTCAATAGTTAAGGAGTTATGGCCATTTTAAAATACTGATTAATTCACACTTAAAAAAGTGATCACAAATAATAGCTAAAAATGCTCTAAAGTCAATAGTTAAGGAGTTATGGCCATTTTAAAATACTGATTAATTCACACTTAAAAAAGTGATCACAAATAATAGCTAAAAACGCTCTAAAGTCAATAGTTAAGGAGTTATGGCCATTTTAAAATACTGATTAATTCACACTTAAAAAAGTGATCACAAATAGTAGCTAAAAACGCTCTAAAGTCAATATTTAAGGAGTTATGGCCATTTTAAAATATTGATTAATGAAAGTGATCACAAATAATAGCTAAAAACGCTCTAAAGTCAATATTTAAAGAGTTATGAGCATTTTAAAATATTGATTAATTCACACTTAAAAAAGTGATCACAAATAATAGCTAAAAACGCTCTAAAGTCAATATTTAAGGAGTTATGAGCATTTTAAAATATTGATTAATTCACACTTAAAAAAGTGATCACAAATAATAGCTAAAAACGCTCTAAAGTCAATATTTAAGGAGTTATGGCCATTTTAAAATATTGATTAATTCACACTTAAAAAAGTGATCACAAATAATAGCTAAAACGCTCTAAAGTCAACACTTAGGGAGTTATGAGCATTTTAAAATATTGATTAATTCACACTTTCAAAAGTGATCACAAATAATAGCTTAAAACGCTCTAAAGTCAATATTTTAGGAGTTATGACCAGTTTAAAATATTTATTAATTCACACTTAAAAAGTGATCACAAATAATAGCTAAAAACGCTCTAAAGTCAATATTTAAGGAGTTATGGCCATTTTAAAATATTGATTAATTCACACTTAAAAAAGTGATCACAAATAATAGCTAAAAACGCTCTAAAGTCAATATTTAAGGAGTTATGGCCATTTTAAAATATTGATTAATGAAAGTGATCACAAATAATAGCTAAAAACGCTCTAAAGTCAATATTTAAGGAGTTATGAGCATTTTAAAATATTAATTAATTCACACTTAAAAAAGTGATCACAAATAATAGCTAAAAACGCTCTACAGTCAATATTTAAGGAGTTATGAGCATTTTAAAATATTGATTAATTCACACTTAAAAAAGTGATCACAAATAATAGCTAAAAACGCTCTAAAGTCAAAATTTAAGGAGTTATGAGCATTTTAAAATATTGATTAATTCACACTTAAAAATGTGATCACAAATAATAGCTAAAAACGCTCTATAGTCAATATTTAAGGAGTTATGAGCATTTTAAAATATTGATTAATTCACACTTAAAAAAGTGATCACAAATAATAGCTAAAAACGCTCTATAGTCAATATTTAAGGAGTTATGAGCATTTTAAAATATTGATTAATTCACACTTAAAAAAGTGATCACAAATAATAGCTTAAAACGCTCTAAAGTCAATATTTAAGGAGTTATGAGCATTTTAAAATATTGATTAATTCACACTTAAAAAAGTGATCACAAATAATAGCTAAAAACGCTCTAAAGTCAATATTTAAGGAGTTATGAGCATTTTAAAATATTGATTAATTCACACTTAAAAAAGTGATCACAAATAATAGCTAAAAACGCTCTAAAGTCAAAATTTAAGGAGTTATGGCCATTTTAAAATATTGATTAATTCACACTTAAAAAGGTGATCACAAATAATAGCTAAAAACGCTCTAAAGTCAATATTTAAGGAGTGATGGCCATTTTAAAATATTGATTAATTCTCACCTAAAAAAGTGATCACAAATAATAGCTATAAACGCTCTAAAGTCAATATTTAAGGAGTTATGAGCATTTTAAAATATTGATTAATTCACACTTAAAAAAGTGATCACAAATAATAGCTAAAAACGCTCTAAAGTCAATATTTAAGGAGTTATGAGCATTTTAAAATATTGATTAATTCACACTTAAAAAAGTGATCACAAATAATAGCTAAAAACGCTCTAAAGACAATATTTAAGGAGTCATGAGCATTTTAAAATATTGATTAATTCACACTTAAAAAAATGATCACAAATAATAGCTAAAAACGCTCTAAAGTCAATAGTAAGGAGTTATGGCCATTTTAAAATACTGATTAATTCACAGTTAAAAAAGTGATCACAAATAATAGCTAAAAACGCTCTAAAGTCAATATTTAAGGAGTTATGGCCATTTTAAAATATTGATTAATTAACACCTAAAAAAGTGATCACAAATAATAGCTAAAAACGCTCGAAAGTCAATATTTAAGGAGTTATGGCCATATTAAAATATTGACTAATTCACACCTAAAAAGTGATCACAAATAATAGCTAAAAACGCTCTAAAGTCAATATTTAAGGAGTTATGGCCATTTTAAAATATTGACTAATTCACACCTAAAAAAGTGATCACAAATAATAGCTAAAAACGCTTTAAAGTCAATATTTAAGGAGTTATGGCCATTTTAAAATATTGACTAATTCACACCTAAAAAAATGATCACAAATAATAGCTAAAAACGCACTAAAGTCGATATTTAAGGAGTTATGGCCATTTTAAAATATTGATTATTTCACACCTAAAAAAGTGATCACAAATAATAGCTAAAAACGCTCTAAAGTCAATATTTAAGGAGTTATGGCCATTTTAAAATATTGACTAATTCACACCTAAAAATGTGATCACAAATAATAGCTATAAACGCTCTAAAGTCAATATTTAAGGAGTTATGGCCATTTTAAAATATTGACTAATTCACACCTAAAAAAGTGATCACAAATAATAGCTAAAAACGCTCTAAAGTCGATATTTAAGGAGTTATGGCCATTTTAAAATATTGATTAATTCACACTTAAAAAAGTGATCACAGATAATAGGTAAAAACCCCGAAAACTGAATATTTAAGGACTTATTGTCATTTTAATTTATTGATTAATTCACACTTCAAATAAATTTTCTTATTTTTATTTCAGGTGTTTCTTTGGAGTATCTATTGTAACGGTCATGATAGCTGCAGTCTATTTAATCGTCCATGTCTATCAGAAATGGGCCACTACCCCAGTTATTGTGGGCATTAATCCTCAATCAACTGCCATAACTGATGAACCTTTTCCCGCTGTGACTATTTGTAATCTGAATCAAGCTCTAAATGATACTGCGAGGGAGTTTTCAAAGTAAGAAGAAAATATTTTTATTATTTTTTTCGAATTTATTTATATTTGCAAATATCAATTCTCCGATTTCAATTTCCATTAATCGTGAATCTGGAGGATATATAATGATATTTGATTTAATAAAGGAGGGATATAAAAGTATTTCTCAATACTTATTACAGAAATTCCACCGACTTTACAATAGTCCAGCTGTTGTGTAAACGTGAAGTAAATCAGACGGTGGTCAAGTCCATTACAAATTGGAATCATGTGGAGCAGTTTATTGTAAATGTGAGTACCTTAAAAATATGCTTATAAAAATTTTATTAAAAATCGTTTTCGGAGCAGATTTCCCAACCCTGTAAGGATATGCTGGTGGAGTGTCGCTTTGGTGGTAAATACTACAACTGTAGTCATCTATTTTATCCTCTGGTAACGGATGAGGGTTTGTGTTGTTCCTTCAATATGCTACATCCGAAGTTCATGTATCTATCACAGTAAGTAACCAGTAAGAAGAGGTCAAAAGTCGGATGGTGCCGACTATATGATACCCTACACCACTATGCGTATTTAGTAGAGCTCACGTAAAAAAGACTTTATTTAGAGTACATCATACCACCTATCAACATTTGGCTTCACAGCAGTTATAGCTTGGTTTCAGAGGGATCTAATATATGGGAGCTACATCCAAATCTGAACAAATCTTTATAAGAATGGGCAGAGGTATTTCCGAGCTCTATAAGATATCTATATATGGTATCAGATATCTTTCTTGTGGAGTGCATATTACGGATGTGAGGGACTTAAAACCCCAAATCGGATGAAACATATATACGGGAGCAATAGCTATATCTGAACCGATTTTCTCCAAATTTTATGTACGTGCTTCTCAACTGAATTCGGTTGGATGTGCTAAAATTCAGATAATTTGGACTAATATTGACCACTTTGTGCACAATTAACCCGAAATCGGTTTAAGATATATATGGAAGCTATATCTAAATTTGAACGGATTCTCACCAATTTTAATAGGGTTCGTCCTTCGACAAATATTGTTTGGAAAATTTCATCTGAATCGGATAATAAATGCGACCTGCATGTTTTTCACAAAAATACATAGACAGACGAACTGACATGCATAAATCGACTCAGAAAGTGATTCTATGAATATCCTCAAGAGTAACTATGGATTCTCCTCGCTTCCTTCTCCAGGTTACAAACAAATGCACAAAGACATAATACCCTTACCACTATGTGGTGCAGGGTGTAAAATATGGGTGATTATGAAAAGAAGACGAAAAGTAAACTAATTTTATATTTCTTTCTACCCAGCATTCCCCTGTCCTATCCGAACACCACACCCATGCAAACACCCATCGATTGGCATTCAGAGGCCGGATATCCTCAAGATTTACCCAAAAATTATTATCCTCGAAAAATTCCTGGTGTTGGTGAGTCGATGGGTCTATCGGTGGCTATTGATGTCCAGGAAGATAAATACTATTGTTCCTCCTCGAATAGTATTGGATTCAAATTTGCCCTACACAGCCCCAATGAAACGCCCAATGTTCATGACACTGGGGTTTTCATAGAGCCCGGGAAAGAGACCAATATTCGAATACGTCCAGATAAAACCGAATCGGATAAACAACTTCTGGGTATGTCAAGGCGACTGCGTAAATGCCTCTTTCAGGATGAGGGGAATCTGAAATTTTTCGCCCATTACACCCAGCGAAATTGTGAAATGGAATGTGTAGCCCAGGTCTCGTGGAAATATTGTGGCTGCATAAGTTTTTATATGCCGAAAATATACAACAATGTCACTGTGTGCAGCATAAATGAGGCCAAGTGTGCCAGGGCTGTGCGTCTGGGTATTTACAACAGCCGCACCTCCTGTTTCGATGAGTGTTTGCCTAGCTGCTTTGAAATGGATTATCCCATCGATGCATTTGCCACCAAATTGGCCCATACTGGATTGATTTTTAGCAATCGTAATATAGCTGCCTTCAAGCGTTCGTATGTGGTGAAAAATATTGCCATTGTTCATATGTTTTTCAGCTCGAATACTTTTCGCAGCAATTTGCAAACGGAGTTTATTCATTTTTCCGATTTTCTATGTGAGTTTTTTTTATAATTTCCAAATTAGAGGAGCTTTAAAAATATTTTCTATTTACAGCAAGTGTTGGTGGTCTCATGGGTTTATTTCTGGGCTTCAGTTTTCTATCGATTGCCGAATGCATATATTACGCTGTCATACATCCATGCCGCACAATGGGTCAATATCAACGATCATTGGAATTGCATAGATCATTGCAAAGTGTAAGGAAATTATCATCAAGATCGAAAAAGAAACGTTCTACGCTGAAGTCACGTTGCAAAAAACTATTTTCTTCTTCGTCCAAAGTTCATGACCGGCATGTTAAGGTCATTAAAGTTCCCTATGCCATAACATATGGATTTGAGGTTCCTGTCAATGACAAAGTTCAGTTGCCATTTTGTCAGTAGTTGGATGGAAAAACAACTATGGCTTTTTGAATAAAGAAATCAAGATTTTTAAATTTTCAATTTTAAATGTATGCTTTTGCTTTTATCCTAAATGTATTTGAACCTACGCTTCAATATTTATTCAAATAAATGTAGCTTGCTTTGAGTGTTGCGAACATTGTGTTTTATTTTAAAACTAACAGGTGCCCTCGTCAGCGAAAAGTCCACCTTAAATTTTAGATTCGTTCCAAGAGCTTGTGTGAGGCTTTTTATACCCTCCACAATGCATAGTATATACCCTTCAAACTAAAGTTCGTCATTCCGTTTGTAACTCATCGAAATAATAATTTAAGATATAACAAAATTCTAAGACGATTTAGCCCCATCCGTCCATCTGTACGTATGTTGTAATCATGCTAGAGTCAAAATGAATAAAGAAAGGAAGCTAAAATTATGCACAGATCAGTATTTTGTCTTCCGGCAGGTCAAGTTCGAAGATGGGCCACGATATAGGCCCCATATAACGATATCCCCAATATTCAGTACTTTTATGATTTTAGCGACATTATTCAAATATCGTATTTAGAGTTCGTAATGGGAATTTCAGAAAATTGACTATGCTGGTTCAGGTCTTTGTATAGCCCTGATATAATGGTACCTGCCTATATTCGGTATTTTAATGATTTTAGCTACATTATACACCGGACTTTTGTTTCAAGTTTCGCATTTGAATATTGTAATTGTTTATGACAAAAGTTGCCTGTGCAGGTCCACGTCTTCGTGTAGACCCGAATATAACGGCTATAAATTTTCAAATTAGTCGCAAATGGTGGATGGTATTCAAAGCTCGGCCCGGACTTACAGCTTTTTTACTTGTTACTTGTTAGTACTTAACATCAAAATGCCTATTATACCCTTACCCATATGGCTAGAGAGTTTATATATAAGTTGATACGACCAAAACATGCCTCTTCGAAAAACGGTTTTGACCTTAGGTCTCTTTGGACCAAATCCGTTTCAGGACATTTGGAGTCGATCTAGCGATGTCCGTATGTCTGTCTGACTGGTGCGCACGATAACTCTTTAAGGGAGTATGCGATTTGATCCAAACTTGGTATATCGTAATATTATTATCAAACAAAGATCGATTTTAGAGATGGGCAATATCCTCCTGGTACCTCTCTTACAAGGTCGAACTTTTCAAAGAAAATATTTTACTGGACAGAAGGAGAAACAATAATCCGAATTTACTTAAACTTTGCAAATTCTAATATTTGCATCAGTCAAGTGTGAAAATGGACTATATCAACTCACAAAGGGTCAACATTTTAAATAATTATATTTCTTATAAAATATGATGTAGAGTCCGCTTGTCTTAAAATTACACATATCACAATAGTTTTATAAACCCAAGGTCGGGTGTGAAAGTGGAATATATCGATCTGGTACCACCCCCACAAAGGGCCAGTATTTTAAATATCCATGAAGCTAATAAGACGCTAAATTAACATTTTATCTTAATATTTCTATCAACACAAGATAAAGACGGTAGAGATCGGAACATTCCTTCTGATACCTCCCCCCACAAACGGTCACAAATTTGAATAACTAAAACGATTATAAAATCCGAAATATGCATCCGAATCTCTGAATATATCACATATCCCATTATTTCTACTTATACAAGATATGCTGTAATGATGTGGTATATCGTCGAACTCCCTCCTGTACCTCCCCAACAAATTGTCAAAATTTTAAATACCCACGAAGCTCATAAAACGTGAAATTAACATTCGATCCCATTTAGACTTGGTACATCTCAATATGTCCATCAACACAAGATCTGTTATAAAGATGGTGGAGATCAGACAATTTCTTCTGGTACCTCCCCCACATTGGATTAAAGATTTTGAAAGATTTTTCATTTTTTACATATACAAACTGTTTTTCAGTAAGGGAAAGTCAAAAGTCGGGCGGGGCTGACTATATGATACCCTACACCACTATGCATGCTTAGAAGAGCTCCCGTAGCAAAATAATTTATTTGAAATAGGCCATGCCACCTATCAACATTTGGCTTTAGACCACTATAATTTGGTTTCAGAGGGAACTAATATATGGAAGGCATACCCAATTCTGAATCGATTTTCACAAAATGTGATGGAGACATTTTCATCTTTTATACCAAATAACATTGCTATGGAGTGCATGATATCACTTGGAGAAGGATTATACTAAAAAATATATATCGAAGCCGAGTTCCCACAAATAGAAACGTACGTCCTGAAATTATGGGAGCTATGTTCATATCTGAACCGAATTTGACAAAATTTAAGGTCCTTATGCCGGATGTACCAGGTGATTTGGACTGATATTGGTCATTTGGTGCACAATTAGCCCGTAATCGGTTGAAGATATATATGGTAGCTATATCCAAATTTTAACCGGTCTTGATAAAAATTGGCAGAGGTATTTCTGGGCTGTATCTGATATTTGGTTCCAAATACCATTGTTGTCGAATGAATATTATGCGAGTGAAGGACTTTTAACCCCAAATCGGATAAAACATATGTATAGGAGCTATAGCTATATCTGAACCGAATTACACCAAGTGAAGTACTGATTTCTAGGATGAATTCAGTCGTAATAGCCAAAATTCAGTCTATTTGGGCTAATATTAGCCATTTGGTGCACACTTAACCTGATATAGGATAAAGTTATATATGGGATTTATATCCTGATCTGAACCGATCTTAATAAAATTTGACAGAGGTATTTTCGAGCAGTATATGATGTCCGGTACCAAATATCATTTTTGTGGAGTGCACATTACGCATTTGAGGGACTTAAATACTCAAATTGGATGAAACATATATATGGGAGCTAAAGCTATATATGAACCGATTTTCCAAATTTGATGCACTTGCTTCTAGAATGAATTCGGTGAGGTGAACCAAAATTCAATGCACAATTATCCTGAAATCGGTTGAATATATATGGGAGCTATATGTAAATCTGATCCGATTATCACCAATTTAAATAGGAAAATTTCATCTCAATCGGATAATTAATGCGACCTGCCTTTTTGTTTACAACAATACATGGACAGGTGGGCGGACGGACTGACATTCATAAATCGTCTCAGAAAGTGATTTCAAGAAAATCCTCAAAAATAATTATAGGTCTATCTCGGTTCCTTCTCTATGTTACAAACATATGCACTAAGACACAATACCCTGACCAATATGACGGTTTAAATTTCCTAAAAATACGAAAAACTCAATAGTAAAGGAGTTTTGGCCAAAATAAGAAGATACAATTCTTATTTATGTAAATAAAAACCGGCGATTGAAACCTCGGTCCTCGAAGACAGTTACAACTTGAGCACAGGTTTTTACTTTTCTATACCACAAAGAAATTTACAACTATTTACAACGACTTTTGTTTACAAACACTCAGGTCAAAGACCCCAGAAGTTCTTCACAACATAAATAGGAAATATTTCAACACGTTTTCCGGATAAACAGAGTGAACACAGTAAACACCATTCCATTAATCGGAAAATGCATTCAAATAAATAAAGTTGATGCGAACAGATTAAGTTTCCACCTATTATTAGCCTGGAAGTTTCATAGATTCCTTAATTCTCTACTCTCCACTACAATTATTGAGGAAGTACTTAATGAAGTAATTATTTTCTATGGTTTGTAGTTTTGCTAGAACTGATTGAATGGACTATTTGTTTATGAATTGAATCAAAACAATCGTCACAAGTCAAATTATCGGTGCCCTTGAAATGGTTCCATATAAAAGCGCGGATTTTTCGTGGTCATTTCAATATTTACAACTCGACCACCATGATATTGTCTCGCGGTTCGGAAAGTGATAAATCCGTGGTAATCATTGGCGACAAAAAGAAAAGTCGATGGAATTCGATTAAAGTGAACATATATCAGAATGTGAAGGAATTTTGTAAAAATACCACTCTGCATGGCTTGAATTATATGGCGAATAAGGATTTATATCTGATGGAAAGGTAAAAAGTGAAAAAAAATGTATATGGAAATAAATGGAAAAATCCATTGAAATATTAAGTTATTTTTTAAATTTGGATAATATGGAACTTAAACTCCAAACGTATGGAAAAACTTATGGGAAATGGAAAGTAAATTGTGACCACAAGTGTTAAAATGGGTGCTGCAAAATAGTCAGAATATTAGTGACTGTGTTATAACAAGAAGTCTAGAATTTTACGAAAATTCGGAAACTTGATGAATTTGTTTATATATAAAAATAAATACAAATTAAATTAGATAATAACATGTAAGCAAAGGCTATAGCTATGGGGCCGACCATGTGAAACCCTACAACACTACAATATGTTAGAAGCCCCCTTATGTCAAAATCCATTTTGGAAGATTTCGCTTTTGAAATTATATCACGGAGCACTGCCCAGATATTACCCTAATAATTTTGACCAGGGACATTTGCCCAATATTTAAGCACTCCGTCGTACTGTTAGTTGTTGTGATCCATTTTACAGCTAAATATAATCAAACGGTACTCCTGTCCTTAATTCTCTTCTCAGGCGTTTCGATTGGCTTAAATTGTGTGATTTGGATTTGTTTTCTGTTTTTGGTTCATTTGAACCCCTAAATATTTTGCCATCATCTGTAATCAAATGCAAGAGGCACCTCTGTATTTCTAAACTTAGACTCATCTATATGATGATATTTGGCTATATTCGTCAACGAAATCAGCATGGAAAGCTAGAATAATACGCCTAGCCCTTCTGAGCCTAACCATATCCTTGTGAAAATTTTCGTGATAATCAGACGATAAATGCAATCAAAATTTGTCAACATCGGTCCTAAATATTACCCGATGACTATCAAAAGCTCAGCTTTAAGCTCTATCCCCATACTAACTTCCGCGTCGATTGGTCTATAATTGCGACCTGTAGAGCAACTGCAAAATCAGGATTTTTTCAGTTTTTGGTCCATTTCAACCCCTTAATATTAGGCGATCATCTCCAAAAGAAATAGGGTTCTATTCTGATATGGACAGACGGACGGACGGACATACAAAGCTAGATCGACTCAGCTCGGGGAGATAGAAAGATCCATATATACTTTCCTATGTGGGAATCAATATTTCGATGTGTTACATAATTTTTGGCCCAATCAAACTTATAATACCCCTAACACATAGTGTTGTAGGGTATAAATACAATGACCAGATATATAAAGAATAAATATCGTCTATTTGTGATTTCGCCGGGATTAAAAATATTCGCGGTTTAATGGAAAATTTGACTTTTATTTAACACAAATTTTGTGGCCTATTTCACCCACTAAATATTACCCGATGACCATCAAAGGCTTCTGCCCAGCCCTAAGTTCTAGCCCTATGCTAACTTCTGCTTTGATTGGTCCATAATTGCGACCTGTAGAGCAACTACAAAATCAGAAAATTTTTCAATTCAAAATTAGGGATTATTTGGTCACAATATTCATTGTTATTGGATGAAGATATGTATGGATAAATATGAACCGATCTTGATAAAATATGGCTCAGGTATTGAGAGCTGTATGAGATATCTGGTACTAAATATCATTTTTTTCGAGTACATATTGCAAATGTGTGGGGCTAAACATCAAATTGGACGAAGCATAAGCATATTGAAGCTATAGCTATATCAGAACCGATTTTCTCCACTCCATTTGGGCTTGTATTAAACGCTTGGTGCACCATTAACCTAAAATCGGACAAAGGTATGTATAGGAGCTATATCCAAATCTGAAATATCTTTGATGTAGACTACATTTTACGAATGTGAGAGACTAAACTCCAAATCGGATTATAAACATATTGGAGCTATAGCTATATTCTAGGTTGAATTCGGTCGGATGTGCCGAAATAAATCCTATAAATACACATATGGCGCTCTCTAAAATTACAATCGGATTAATATATATATGGGAGCTATACATAAATTTGGACCGATTATCATAAATTTCAATAGGGTTCGTTCTTGGACCAAACAAATGACTTGTGGAAAATTTCATCTCAATCGGACAATAATTTCGTACAGGTCAATGAACAGATGGACGGACAGGCATAAATCCACTCAGAATGTGATTCTATTAAGATAATCGAAAAACAAATGCACCAAGCCACAGGGTATTATGGCTTTGTGGCGTAGGGTATAAAAAATATAATCGGCTATCCTTGAAATCTGTACATCACATGGGACCTATACCTATATTCACAGATAATAAGGAAGTACAGCCATACATATAAACGTGAACCGATACATTCCAATTAATATATCAAATATCCAATTTCTGAATATCTATCTTTAATAGTGTGCATGGAAACACACATTGACAAGAAAGGTTACCACATATTGAGAACTCAAAATACCACAATTTTCATTCCGTTTCTAAAATCTCTAAATATTAGTCGTAGATCCATAAAGTATAACTATTCATGATAAGCATACAATTCTAAGATGAATTAACGATGTCCGTCCGTCTGTCTGTTGAAATCACGATACAGTCCACATTATTTGACGAACGTTTTGAAATATGCAATAAAATTGTGTGACCATTTTTCTACGAAATTGATCAAATTTAGTACTGAGATTAACGGTTTTTACCTCGTGTGACTGAATATTGTCTAAAAGGTCCCCATTGATAAAAAAGTTTGATAAAATTTTACTCAAATGTATATTATGTCTGCAGGACTTTTGGTATGGAAAATGGGCCATGTAGGTCCATGTTTAAGTATAGCCCCCATATAACGGTACCTCCCGATATTCATAATTTTGATGATTTTAGCGACAATATTCACCGGAATTGTTTCAAATTTGGCATTTGAAGTTCGAAATGGATACTACAGCCTAAGATAGAAAATTGTCTGTGCAGGTCCACGTCTTCGTATAGACCCCATATAACGGTACCACCCGATATTCGGTATTTTGATGATTTTACATTATTCACCGATTTTATCTAAGTTTCGCATTTGAATATTGTAATGGCTCATGGCAAATGTTATCTATGCAGGTCCATGTCGTTGTATACATCCTAATATGACGGCTACATTCGGTATTTTTGAGATTTTAACAGAATTTTTAACGGATTTAATTGTTTTTGAGAATTCCCAAATACGTTTCAAATGGTGGAGGGTATTGAAAATTCGGCCCGGCCGAGCTTACAGTTTTTTTACTTGTTTATTTTCTAAATGATTCTTAATTGAAAATAATATTTCGATTCTACCTACAATAATTTAATATTTTCTCAATCCTTTATTTCCTGCAGAATCTTTTTTGCCTTATCCTTCATATCGGCCGTTGTCATTGGTGCAATTTTCATTAACAATGTCTATGTGAAGTGGAAAACAACACCGGTGATTTTCAGTATAAATCCGCATCCAACCTATATAACCAATGAACCATTCCCAGCGCTGACAATATGTAACATGAATAAAGCGTACAAGGCGAAAATACAAAATTTTACCACGTAAGTAAATATTTTTGTAAAAATATAGAATAATAAAAATATAGATAAAAGACTAAATAATTTAATTTAAATATTTAGGGACTCTGTGGAATATGCCATCATACAAATGTTGTGCAAACGTAAGGTGAATGTAACCGTGGCTGATACCATTCAGGATTGGAGCAGCTTGAATCAATTTATATCTGATGTAATATTTGTTGTTGCAATTTTTTATTCAAATTAAAAAGAAAAAATTTATTTTACAGATTTCGCAACCATGTGAGAAAATGTTGGTCTCATGCCGTTTTGGTGGCATGGCCTATGATTGCCTACGCATTTTTCATCCCATTGTAACGGATGAGGGTCATTGCTGTGCCTTTAATATGGTCCATCCGAAATTTCTCTACACCGAGGGGTAAGTTGTAAACAGTATTACTTAAAGTTACTGAGTATTTTTAACTGAAAGAAATAAAAAGTATCATCCCGTTTTGCCGACAGATCTATACCCTCAGCCAATGTTCGATTATTTAAATATATATATTTTGACTTATATATCATATTCACAACAGATTTAGTGTTAGCAAAAATATTTGTATGAGTGAAACTTGAAGAGAGCTGAAAGCTTATTTCGCTTTCTTTAAGCGTTTTTAAAATTTTGAACCCTATGTGAGGGAGGTACCAGAAGAAATGGTCCTATCTTTATAACAGATCTTGTGTTGGTGAAAATATTGAGATATAACAAGTCTAAATGGAATCGGATGTTAATTTCACTTTTTATGAGCTTCAAGGATACTCAAAATGTTGACTTATTGAGGGGAGGACCGATGTATCCCATCTTCACAGCAGATCTTGTGTTAGTAGAAAAAATGAGATGTGTGAAATATGATAAGAACCGGATGTTTATTTCGGAATTTATAATCGTTTTGGTGAATCAAAATTTTGACCTTTTGTGGGGGAGGTACCAAAAGGACTGGCCCGACCTCTACCTTCTTTATAACAGATATTGTATTGATGGAAATGTTGAGAAGTACCAAGTTTGAATGAAATTGGATGTTAATTTCGATTTCTATTAGCTTCATGGATATTCAAAATTTTGACCCTTCGTAGGGGAGGTACCAGAAGCAGTGGACCGATATATCCCATCTTCACAGCAGTTCTTGTGTTAGTAGAAATAATGGTGGGTGAAGTATGAAAAGAACCGGAATCTGATTTCGGATTTCTGATAATTTTGGCTTTTCAAAAATGTTACCCTGTGTGGGGGAGGTATCAGAAGTAGTGGACTGTTATTTCTATCTTCACACCAGACCTTGGGTGAATAAAGACATTTTACAAGAGTTATAATTATTGAAAAATTGAACCCCTTGGGGGGAGGTACTTGATAGAGTGGTCCGATGGTGTCCATCACATGACTTAGCACTGATGCAAATATTGAGATTTGCAAAATTGGAGCAAACCCGGATTATCCTTTCTCTTTGTGTACAGTAAAATATTTTCTTTGAAACTTGATTTAAGTTTGACAAAAGTATTATGATGTACCAAGTTTGGACCAAATCGGATTTTCCCTTCGAGAGTTTCGTGCGCTCCAGCCAGACAGACAGACGGACGGACTTCGCTAGATCGACTCCAAATATCCTGAAAAGGATTTGGTTCTAAGAGACCTAGGGTCTAAACCCATTATTTTAATGAGGCACGTTTAGGCTATATCAAATGATATTTGCCATATGGCTCAGGGTATAAAAAATGTATCGTATTCACCTATTACTGTTTCAGTGCCATAACTAGGATGATAAGCAGTCCCTCACATGGTCCCAAAAAATAGATAAAATATTAACTTAAAATCCAACATTAATTCCCCCCTTCCTTCTTTTAGCACCCAATCTCTGATAAAAGAAATCTATAGCAATCACAGTGACATGGATGAAGCTATTGCTTGGAATCCTGAATTCGGTTACCCAGAGAAAATGTCTAAACATTTCTATCCTAGAACGGCTGCAGGTACTGGAGAATCATTGGGTCTGACAATTGTACTGGATGCCGAAGTGGATCAGTACAATTGTTCCTCAACGAACAGTGTAGGATTTAAAATGACCATGCATAATCCCAATGAGAGACCAAATGTTCGGGAGGTAGGTCTGCTGTTGGCCGCCGGATATGAGACTAAGGCCCGGGTACGCATGGAAAAATTGGAGGCAGACAAAAAACTTCATACCGTCCATCTGAAACATCGACAATGTGAATTTCAAGATGAACATGAGCTAACCTATTTTGCCACGTATACCCAATCGAATTGTGAAGCGGAATGCATTGCCGAAACGCTGATGCGTCATTGTGGTT